ATTTGTAAAATAGCAGTATTACGACTCTATACTTGTTAGGAGAAAGAATCAACATGGCAATTGTGGACATTCTACGCGATGAAAAAGGACAGTCAACACAACAAATGCGGACCATCACTTATCGTGTATAGGACAGTCAACACAACGGCCAAAATTTATTTATGAAGTTTTTTCCATGCATAAATTTCTAGATAACATAACATATTCTAGTGAGTCGTTATAACCATACTAATATGACGGAGTGCCTGTTTTGGCGTTTCTCAGGCGCCCTCAGTTTGGAAAAGACATTTGTCACCCTAGACTGGCCTGTCTAGCTGTAGCGAACAGCGAAGGTGCGGGGTGTCAACCCCATATAGATCTATACACAAATTCCCGCTCTCCCTCCAGGAGACTCTGGCTATAACTCCTTACAGGACTTTAGACGTACACTAATATTTTTATATTTAGGTACTTTTGAGATTTGTCTGACTAGAATATTAACAACCTTTTGAGCAATCGTTAGAGATCCATTATTTGTTAGATAAATAATGAAATTCGTACTCATTGAATAGAAATACCGTTCTCGTTTCATATCGTTGATTGTGCTTGTTAACTGGGTGCTCGTGTTCGTTCCTTTTCGTTTATTGAAAAATAAGCCATTTTAGTCAAGAGAAAAAGTGTCAAGTTATAATTTGTATAAATTTATAACTGCCGGTTATGACACGCATTTTCTGTTTCATGACATATAGAACATTACTTATGTTCTTGGAGGTTTTACGACAGCAGTTTATGACATGCAAATATTTTTGTCATGAAAACTCTGTTTTCGTATATTTTCCTTTATAAAATTATTTATATTAAATATTTATAAATAATCGCTAACAGTTTGCAAGAAGTCATTTATAGGGCATAAAGTTCAAAACTTTGGAGATTCTAGAAATAGTGACAATTTATAAGGTCTACTTTAGCAACTTTTTATTTCTAGATATGGAGATATGGAATAAGGGGGTATATTGGACACACCCAAAAACCTTGAGATGCTCTTTTTGTATACAAAGTATTCTTTATGTGGTGGTTTTTAAACATTTTTCTGATTTTCATGAAATCTGTGAAGTTTCACGTTCATGAAGATTAAAATAAAATAATGATATTTCAACTCACACACTAAACATACAAATACATGAAATTATCCAAGGATTTAGACAAGATTTGACTTGTATTCTCCCCCAAAAACAATAAAAACTTAGAAAAAGGTGGGGCTATGAAGCTCACCTTGATTAGTTTGCTGGGTGATTTGGAGAAATGATAAGGAGTTTCCAAGTTCCAACACTTGAAAGGTTCTTGAACTCTAGAATATCCTAAGAATAATTCTATGTGTAAATATAAGGAAGTCTTAGAACTAATATGAAGAATCACTAAGGAAGATGAGATACTTACAATAACCTAGGAATCTTCCTTGAAGGAGTGGGATTTGAAGCTTGAATGAGTTGAGAGCTCTTTTAGGAGTTGCTGGATGTGAGGAATGAGGAATGGGATATGGGAAGGAAAAGTGGAGTTCACGTACTAAGAAGGAGGGGATAAGGAGTGACTTGACCTTTGCTTGGAGGACTGGTGTACAAGGCTTAGTTCTCTTTGGATAATACATGTTTTACTGAGATTTGCATGGGAAAAGAGGGATTTACATCACATCATAAAGTCAAACCCCTTTATTTTCTTAGAATCTCCTTAAAAATCTTGGGTATTATTTTATATAAATATGTTTAAAATAATTAATTTTGGCATAAAATGGGGGTTTAAGGGGTTTAGGATATGAAAAATACGAGTTTGGTGTGATTGCCAACGTCAAAATGCCTTAAAATGATGAAAAAGTCCGAAAATGACAAAAATCCGGAGTGGAGGGTTGTTCCTGCGAGGGTCCGAAGTGCTTAGGAGGAGTTCCGGAGCCATTCATCACATTCTGGAGTGTATTCTCGGATTCTGAAGTCATCTGCTTAATTCCGGAGCGAAGCCAGCAGTCCGGACCGAGGGTGAAATTTCCGAAGCGGGGCTAGTCCTTCCGGATGAGAGGCTTATTCCGGAGTCACCCTTCCGGCTTGCGAGATTGTCCGAAGCAACTAGGGCATTCCGGCCTAAGAGGGTTCCGGACCAAGAGGGTCCTTTTGGGTTTTCTCCTCCGGTTTTGGGCTGTTTTCGACTGAGGAAGGTACGTAGAGAGATTTGGGAGAGATTTCATATTCTTGGAGAGATTTGGGAGATATTTCACATATTTGGAGAGATTTCATATTCTTGGAGAGACTTGGGAGAGATTTCGCATACTTTGAGAGATTTCACATACTTAGATAGATTTGGGAGAGATTTCACATACTTGGAGAGATTTTGGAGAGATTTCACATACTTGGAGAGATTTGGGAGAGATTTCACATACTTGGAGAGAATTGGGAGAGGTTTTACATACTTGGAGAGAATTGGGAGAGATTTCACATACTTGGAGAGAATTGGGAGAGATTTCACATACTTGAAGAGAATTGGGAGAGATTTCACATACTTGGAGAGATTTGCACTCTATCTCTCCATGGTCCATTAGGAACCATAAAGTACACTTTTAATGTGTTAGCACAAGTCTCACAATAGTTATTGCTTACATGAGGACGGAATTTGCTAGCCAAAATGCTAGTTGTGACATTCGTCCATTTATACCTATGGCCGAAGAGGCCTTTCTTACACTCCAAAATCATTTTCTTTCAACTTCTTCATCCTTTATCTCAAAGGCAAGTCCGAAACTTCTTCAAGAACTCATCACCTTCAAGTGGTCATTTGATTTTTGGTAAGTAGTTCGTGATACCCTAGTGTTTTTATACGATTTTATGTTTTTTTTCATCATTTCTACACATATTATCATGTTTGAAACCCTTAGGAAAATCACACCTCCAAAGAAGATTATCAACTTCACTCAAGAAGCTAGGCTCGAAATCTTCATCTTCTCACTTCAAACCATCCACAAAACCCACCCAAGGTGAGTTCATACCCCTTCATTTTCGAGTTTTTCCAAGTTTTAGGGGGGGGGGGATACAAGTAAACAAATCATATTTGGATGATCTAAAGGCTTTACAAACTAAAAATACAAGTTATGTCACTAAAACATATCTAAGCTTAAAAATTAGCTTTTTACAGAGAAGTTGTGTTCTGTTCACCAACTGTTTTTCCCTACTTAAACTTAGTATATTTCAAAATTGTTCAATATGCAAATAGTTCAGGTCTATACCTTTTTAAGGACTACTTGCACACATTCATACGATTTTTCTACAATTTATGGTGATTTTTACAAAACTGTCTATCATTTCAGAATATTTTCGGACCAGACTGTAAAAATGAACATTTTCACTCTGGTTAGGAACAACTTAAGGCCAGGGAAAAAAATATTATGGACAAAGTAGACTCATTTTCTAAACTCTGAGAGTTTACGGATCCAAATTTTGACTTACGATGATTTTTCTATATTTTTTCTAAAAACATGGACAGAAAAGTCAAAAACTAGAAATTGTCTTTATCGTACTAAATGTTTTTATACTTGTGTTAGATGTACGTTTATATGATATAATTTTTTTTAAACATCTAAACATGCTATACAGGATTGACAACAAAACATTTCTAATAAACTATAATAGGTATAGTTTATGGGTCATCGACACTATTTTACCATTTTGGGATACAATGCATATAATTATTTAAAGGTATAATTATTACGTGTTACAAGAAAAAGGGGTCATAGTTCACGTAAATCTGTTAATGCTCTTGTGAGCCATTTACTTCACCGTACCTACCTAGTGTACACCTTAAGTCCTGCATTATAACCAGAGTTTCCTGGAGGGAGAGCGAGATAGTTGTGTATAGATCTATATGGGATTGACAACCCCACACCTCAGTTGTTCGCTACAGTTAGACCGGCACGTCTAGGGTGACAAATGTCTACCAATTCCGACGCCTGAAGAACGTCGTTCGGGCATATCAGTCATATTAAGCATGATTATAATAACTCACATAGGGATTAACAAAACTACTCGGTTTACGGGAAGCTTACACTTCATCAGTTTTATGAAAAGATAAAACTACATACTATCTTTCAGTACATCATTACTTACATTTCTGGTCTTAGGGTTTTAAGACTACAGTTCGTATTTAAGAAAATATAGGATTTTATGGAAACATACATTATCATTTTACAAGGAAAAGATACAAAAGGAATACATACATTTTTTAGTCTTGAGTATAAGACTTACAACTCATTTTAAAGAAAATATCGGATTTTCTGGAAGTATACAAAACCATTTTACACAAAACAGCTACAAATCCTTATCATACAAAATGCTTATGAACTCACCAACTTAATTGTTGACACTTTTCAAAATCACTTGTATTCTCAGGAAACCAGTAAACAGGTATTCAAAAACATTTTGAGGGCCGGCGTCGCTGTTGCATGTTTTCTACTTTTCAGTTATGTGTATTTAACTTTTGAGCAAACAAAGTTGTAAACAATGTGAACTTGAATTCCCAATGTATGAATGTTTGTGTTGCTATGTTTCATTCATATTCAATTGTTATGATACTGTACAATGACGTCATCCACCCCCGAACGTTTTCGCCGTTCCGGTTTGGGGGTGTGACATTATGTGACGTGATACCGAGTAAGCCTGTAAAATGTATGCCTTGACCATTGTTTGACCATCAACTGCGCATCCATTGAAATATCCTCACCATATCTACCCTTCTTGATCAGCTCAACTAATTCTTTTCATTTTCAGATCAATCGAACCGAAAAACTTGATGATTGATGATTCATTTTCAGATCAATCGAACCCTTCATGATTAGCTTAAACTTTCTCACCGTATTAGTTCCTTCGAGTATTGGGCCTCTTCATAATATTATAAATTTGTCTATTAGTAACAATCTTCTAGAAGGGTCTATTCCGTCAAGCATCACAAACTGCACTAATATATGTTGGATAGATTTTGCTAGAAATAGGATGACAGGAGAAATGCCTCAGGGTTTAGGGAAGTTGTCAAATCTTACATATCTAGTTTTTAGTGACAACAAAATGTCAAGAAGAATCCCGAATGATCTCTTCAGTTGTTCAAGTCATGTGATATTATATATGACACATAACAATTTCAGTGGGTTGTTAAAACCGGGTATTGGAAGACTTTCTAATCTCAAAATTCTGCAAATTCATGGCAATTCGTTTTCCGGGCCCCTCCCAGGTGAAATCGGAAACCTAACTAGTTTGATGTTGTTAAACTTGGGGCAAAACCAATTTTCGGGTACCATTCCTGTAGGATTTTCAAACATTTCCTCCCTTCAAAATCTTTTGCTTGGTAACAATAATCTTAAAGGAGAGATTCCAGATGAAATCTTTGAGCTCAAACAGCTTACAGAACTTTACTTGACGAACAATAAATTTGTGGGTTCTATTCTGAATTCTCTTTCAAAGCTAGAGCAGCTTTCTAGGTTGGATCTAAGTGGAAACAGGTTTAACAGATCAATCCTTGATAATTTAGGAAAACTTAACAAGTTGATTTCGATAGACCTCTCACACAACTTGCTCACAAGGTCGATTTCAGGGTCAGTGATTGCAGGTATGAAAAATACACCGGTGACCATTTCAACGAATTCATAGCTGCAAGAGGAATTTTTCCTTTGTATCTAAGTTTAGATCACAAATTCCTATTTTATGAAAACGTTTTTCACTTGATTCATGTCGGGAATGGTTTAGACATTGGTGGACGATCTGAAAAGCTTGAATTCTTGATGTTTGACATTGATCAAATCATTAGGAGTGGTGGGTTATTTGGTTAGATATTTTTTTGTTCTAATGATTGAAAGAGAAGAATTTGACCCGATTGATTAAAAGATTTCGGTATAAGAAACCAAAATAAGGCTACAATGAGATTAAATCATGTTATAGTGGGTTAAGTGACTTTTCTAACAGGTTAAACGATAGTTCATTCCCTTAATGTACAAAAAAAAAGTTGGGTGACCTTTTAAAACAAAGACGACAAGTTCAATTAGCTAATATGACATTTGCCCGTTAGTTTGTGGTGGTGATTGGTATGGTAGGTGGATAAATGATGGTGGTAGGGTGGGCCATGAGAAGAAAGCGAGAGGGTACAATAAGGGTTGGGAGGTAGGGTGGGCCATCTTAATTTCAATAAGTAAAATAGAAAATAAAAACAAAAAAAGAAATTCTCCATATATGTCATCTACATGGCTATTCCATTGATGACAAGGCAAGGGTATAACCCCTTCATATTTTTATATTGATTTTTTAACAGGAAAAAAATACACTTTAAACCCTTAACCTAGAATACAATAATAATAATAATAATAATAATAATAATAATAAAATTATGGATCTTTTAAAACACAACCCAAAAGTTTGTAGGCTACAATGACATTTTCCCTTATAACAACTCTTAAAAATGCAAATTTTCAAATTTTTTAAAAAATAGATTTTCGGTTTTCTTTTTTAAAATCCAATTTTCAAGAATTAAAAAAAAAGTTAAATTTTTTGAAATAAAAAAAAACTAAATTTTTGGAATTTAAAATGGCTTATAAATTCATGTATTAGTAGGTACCATGGATGAACCAAGGAAAAAAGTAAGGGTCGCAAATTTTTCAAAAGTTGTACATTAATAAATACTCAAATTCATCAGTACTTTAAAAAGATTTATGAGCACTGATCCGTGACACGTCTCCAAAACTATTTCATAGTTGCATATTAATGGGTAGCATGTGTTAATCCGGACTCTATACTAGGTCCGCCTATGATTGGTATGTATATATATATATATATATATATATATATATATATATATATATATATATATATATATATATATATATACACACACTTGGGAGGTGCATATTTGCATTATGCATATATGTATAATAATAATAATTAGTTGTGAGACCCATGTATTACATTAGTTAATTTAAAAAAAAAATTAAATATAAATATCAACATATTTGAGAGCTTTGAATTTATAAGAAAATAAGAAAAATAATAAATTATTATAATTGAAACTTTTTCATCTTTTAAATTTAAAGAAATAATTTAAATAAATAAACAAAATAAACTAATGAGCTTTAATTTGAGAATTTTGAAATAAGAAGGTAAGTCCATTAATGAAATTGATATTCATTTATTACTATATCTATTACAATATTATTACATTAAAATATTATATGGAATTTATTAAAATATAAAAACTCATAAAATGACATGTGGAAAAGAAATTAATTCAAAATAACCACAAAATGACATTTGGCAAATTGAATGAGAGTGTGATATGTGACAAAACACCTTCATTTATTAGAATAGATAAAACCATTTATTAAAAACAATACTAACTGTGAAGAGTGAATGTAAAATTTATCTCTTTAACTTGTCTAAATCTTGTTGCCATTATTAACTTGTCTAAACCTTTTATCGTTCATGCAAAGAGTGAGTGTAATGTTTCATTCAAATCTTCTCTAATAAATGAAGATTTTTTTTTTCCCATTTGTCACACTCTCATTCAATTTACCAAATGTCATTTTGTGTTTATTTTGAATTAATTTTTTTCCACATGTCATTTTATGAGTTTTTCTATTTTATTAAATTCTACATAATATTTTAATGTAATAATTGTAATAAATGTAGTAATAAATAGATATCAATTTCATTAATAAACTTACATTTTAATTTTAAAATTCCCAAAATTAAAGCTCATTAGTTTCTTTTATTTATTTAAATTATTTGTTTAAATTTAAAAGATAAAAAACATTTACATTATAATAATTCATTATTTTTCTTATTTTCTTATAAATTCAAAGTTCTCAAATATTTTGACCTTTATATTTAATTTTTTTTAAATTAACCCTAATTACAAGTAATATATAAGTTTTGTGTGAGATAAGCCTTGTTTTGAGCATTTTTGCTTTCTACATTTTCAAAAACTACTCCTTGACAATTTGTCTTGTGCCTATTCGACTGTGGATTTTCGTTTTCCATGTAGTTTCATATTGTTTCTTATGAGATCATCTTACTTTAAAGAATCCATTTTTTATAAGAATAGGTAACCTACTAATCTGAATTATCATAACATAACACAAGTTAACACGATTTCATGCATCACAAACGAAATTTTATACAACACTTTCAAACTTGATATCCCTTTAATAACAATTTGCACACTCATATTTCTTCAAATTACTTGAAAATAGACAATTGCAGATTATTATAGAAAAGTAAAATGAGTTTCATAACAAGCAGCATATGATATGGCTACAGTTAAAGTCTCCTCCAACTTGTTTAGATACATATATTTATATCCTGCAACTTCCAACTCCTTTTATAACACTAGAAAACATCCAAGAAAAAAAGGGAAAAGATACACCATATATGTGATCTTCTATTCTGTTTTAAGCCTCAGCAGCCTTCTTGTCTGGAAGTGATTTATTATTAGCACGTTTAGTTTCATAATCCTTGACTGCTGCTTTAATGGCATCCTCTGCAAGCATGCTGCAATGGAGTTTCACAGGTGGAAGGGACAGGTGTTTTGCAATCTCTCTGCAACAAACAACAACCATTATCATCATCATGGAGTCTCTATTATTATATATACAGAAATCTAATATATCTTCTGGTTTTCTTAAACATCAGTATTTACATGTAAAAAAGACTATTAAGTGAAAAGAAAATGCAGTTGAACTCACGTGTTCTTGATAGTGATAACTTCTTCCATCTGTTTTCCTTTGACCCATTCGGTAGCTGAAAACAAAAAGTCAACAGTTAGAACAAAGTCACTAACAATTACCATTATGCCAAAAATACCAAACAATTTATCAAAGATCTTAGCACAATCCATCTATGAACTTCAGCATACATAATGTTAGAGGAGTAGGTTTTCAGATCAAACAACATAAAAGAACTGAATGAAAATACATGACCATTTTACCCTTCTGTCTGAAAGTGATGCTTAATGACCTTGATCAACTTATCTTGCATCAAATAGGAGGATAAGTTTCATGTAAAGAGAGCAAGCAATCATATTAACAATTAATAGAATGATTTAAAGAAAACAAGAGATCAAAATAAGTACTCAACTCAAACCTATTTACAAATTAAAACTCCAAGATTTTTAAATAGGCATATGATGGGTTTTATGCACTTAACACATATGGAAGAGGAGGCATTCGATACAAAAACCACTGAAAGTACAAGTTGCTCTGTACACAATTTTGCATAAACTGAATTTCGGATCCAACCTTTGATTCTGAACAGAAAGGTTTCAATTTTACTATGTTTCACTTTTGATATTAATCAAACAACACAATTAAACTATACATGACTTATCCCATATTCTTGGAAGTCATTTCCAAAATTTGACTAAAACAGGTATTCAAAATCAAGTATGAATTCTAATATTATGAAAATCAAAACAATATAATCTGCACATGAAAGGGCTTGTTATAACATCAAGAATCTACATAGAATTCGTCTTATTAATAAATAGGGCTAGGGTTTTGGAAAGGAAAACTAACCAACAGAAGAAGAAGCGATGGCAGACCCACAGCCAAACGTTTTGAAGCAAGCATCCGTAATCTTCCCAGTCTCTTCATCAACCTTAATCTGAAGCTTCATAACATCTCCACAAGCCGGCGCACCCACAAGCCCTGTTCCAACGGTAGGATCGTTCTTATCAAAAGCACCGACGTTACGAGGATTGTTGTAATGGTCCACCACCCTCTCGTGGTAAAACCTCGGCAGAATCCGAGCCACCACCGGTGCAGACGACCGTGTATCGGCTAATCCCAACCCTAGAATCCTTTTAGTAGCGTGCCTCAACATTTTCGTGACTATTTCTTCTCGATTGAAAATGAATTGAATTGCGATGTAAAACTGTTTTGAGTTTCGGTTTACGAAGATATGGATGTGAACGGAGGGAGATAAGATCGACGAGCCGGTGTTACTGGGTTAGGTTTAGACTTTAGATGATTCGCTAACCCATGTCGCGTTTCTTACATTTACTACCAGAAATGGTGATTTTTTCTAAGCCGGTATATCATTCATTCATCTAGATTACTAATAGAAAAAATTTCATTCTATCTTCAAATTTTTTTTTGTTTGTTCCTAAAATAGTTTAGTGAAACCTTCTTTTTGTATGCATGGTCCATACAAATAAACCTTACATTCAAATTATCATTATGATTAACTTTGTTTAAAATATTATGTTAAGTGTTTTTGAAATGACAAAAATATCATTCGTTTTATTTTTTTTATATTTATTTTAATATCTTGTTAAATTGAAATAAAAAAAAGTGGGGTCCACCCACACACCATTATTGATACGCTCCCATTTCTTCACTGTAAATCTCTTCACCAAAAAATGCATCTAATACCTTTCATGGAGGTTTCCAAACTAAGATGGTATGAACTTGCCCTAGTTTTACAGTTGAAGGCGTCTTCTTCAACACCTGCTTTCTCGCATTTCATTCTTCCCTTAAACTAGCACACAAAATAGTGGGTTACATCCTATCTTGTGCAATCATTGATAAAAAAGAGATAAAAGAGAGACATATAAACACATATTAGGAGGGATGACTCTCTTTCAGTGGCAACCCTTTTACCATACC